GTAAAAAGTTGTAGGAATTTTGTCAATTCCGCAATAAAAAAGTTAAAATGAAGAAAATTGACCACAAAATTATATGTATAATGATATAATTATATGGATAATGAAAATAAATAGTATTTTAAAGCAAACAAAGTAAGTATTTTATTTCAGATAAAAAATCTGAACTAAAAAACGCAGGATAAAATTTCATTGAATTACTAAAACGACTGTAACAAAATTGGGGGTTCGTGAAAAGTAGTAAAAATTTAGGGTTGAATGTATTTTAAATGCCGTATTATATTTATTTATTTTATTTATTTATTTATATTTATATTTATATTTATATTTATTTTTATACAAAATAATTTTAGATATTAATGGCACATGATAATAATACATACTATATTAAATGAAATAAATTAATAGATAATAATACATACTATATTAAATGAAATATAATTTAAAAAACAAATGCTTACTCATAACCTTATTATAAGTTTTGCCTTTTATATGAAAGAAAAAAAAAACACAGAAAAAATACAAAACACAGCGCACGCCACCAAGGGGTAGTTTTTAAATTTAGGTAGGCAATTTGAAAATTTTGGTGATTTGAATGTAATGTATAATAGTATCGGTAAACATTTAACAAATAATTCTTCTTATATCTAACTGTGTTCCGGTTTGGTCCGGACAGTCTTAGTTTTTAACGTTACTTCCCAGGTGCCGGATTTATGTTGTTTCTTCCGGGTTGACCTGACTTTTGAAAAAGTTTAGTTTGAATTTAAATTTTTCTCAATACTTTATAATAAAATTACAACTATCATATCCACCATAATCTGAAAATGTTATATGCAATAAACGGCTTATATAAAACTAAACATTATGAACGAGAATGTTGCAAAATGCAAACATTTTAAGAATCTAAATAGCCCTCCACTAATTATTTTAAACTTTCATTATAAAATTTACAAAAATTACCAAAAGATTAGATAAACGAAGTTTCTGACTGCTTGGCAAAAGTGTCTTAAAGTAAGTCACTAAAGTTAATTGCGAAGTTAAATGCGAACCGAAATTGCGAACCGAAATTGCGAAGTTAAATGCGAATACAAAAAAAACTTAAACAAACAATATGATACAAGTGTTTTACTCACCGTCATAGCTAAAGATGAAATTAATGTAAAACAAACTGATTTTTATTGTACCCTTAAATAGTACACAGTTGGCAACTAAATTCGGTTTTACTCTTAGATTGTTTGAATATATCATTAGATTTGCTGATGTAGTCTACATGTAAAACACATTTTTAGTGTGTAGTAAGATAGTAAGAAATTCAGCTGCCAATTAGTAGAAAATTCTTTCTTGATCGTTTGCGTAGTTTTCGTTTAGCGTTTGTTGAAAGATGGAAAATCAAAACAAACAATTTTGTTATACTTTGCATTTTTATTTCTGCAAAGAGAAAAACGATGATTCCAAAGGTTAAGTCCTGTTTATGATGTCAAAGCCTTAGAAATGTCAAAATTGATTTGGAAAATGCCATTCTAGTGGTTTTTCGATCAATGCTGCTCTGGTTGTCCAGTTAAAATTGTGGACAACTTTATTGAAGCAATAATCGATTCAGATAATAGAAACAATTTGGCTATGTTTAAAAATTATTGGGGCTTATTTCGAATGTTTCTCCACATCTACCAAATAGTCCTGACCATAAACCATTTGATTAAAACCCTTGAATTAAAAAAAAACTAGCTGTAAGTGGAAATCTGTCTTAAGGCATCGTGCCTTAAGGCAAATTGCTGGAACTTTCCGTACCAAAAATTATTATTTTTTTAAAAACGATTAACATTTTTAAAAAAAGTTTACTTCGAAAAAATTTGATTTTTGAAAAACTATAAATTTACCAAAAAAATACTTTTTTTTGAAAAAAAAAATTTTTTTTTTTGATGACAAAATTTTTTTGAAAAGAAATATGTTTTCTTCATTTTCACATATTTTTAAATTCTGAACTTTTTTTCAAAGCAATCGTACTGCTTGAACTGCATAGAGACGAAAGGTCAAAGCGCGTAAGCGCCGCGTCGCCGTCTAACGCGTAAACATTGGTACGGAACCCATAGAAATGTAAAAAAAAAATATACTTATTGTTGAAATCTCTATAAAATATCTGATAATTTGATCTGCATATGTCTAATGATCATTTTTTAACGCCAAATGGCATTTTTTTTTTACTTTTTTCATTAGACTCCGAAACCGCTAGACCTGCCTTTATGAAAATTTGATCAATTTTTCATCTTGTCAATACAAGTAAAATGTTTTTTGAATTATTCAAATCGGACGCTTTGTTCTCTTAAAAACTGAGTTACCGTTTTCGGCACTTTTTGCCCCGTATCTTCGGAACCTGCCTTTGCCAAAAACTAATCAGCACGTCTCCTTATCAATACGAATCAAATGTTTTTTAAATTATTCAAATCGGTTGATCCGTGTTCCCGAAATCGTCGACAAAAATTTATATCCGCACATACATACACACATGCACATACATACACGCACACACACACACATTAGTTATTTTGTCGTAAAAAATTATAATAGTTTCATCAGTTTTAATAAGTTACTTATAAGTAAGTGAGCTAAGTGAACCTCGCCTCTGGGTGCAGGCAGAATTTTTGTTGAAATGCTTCCCATTAGAGGGGACATAGTGTCAAGCAATGCTGGTGATACAATCAATGAATCAAATAATTTGAACACAGCGCTATGTCCAGGTTTATCAGATATAACCCAAAATCCGCTGACCAACTCATGCGACGGTATGACTAGTAAAGTAGAACCAATGATTGAACTGTCATATATAATTCCGGAAAACGTCATTTTACAACGGAATGAGTCATTGAAGAGCCTTGAGAATCTGATAAATGAACTACACATGATTGTCAAATCAAAGTCAAATATACATAAAGAAGTGAAGATAAAAACGGGCAACATAGCGGCTGTAACTAAAAGATTTATTGATTTAGACAACCAATTGTTAGAGGGAAAAGGCCGAACCACGAAAGATACGGAAGTAATGATAAATGAAGTGCAATGTTGTGAAACAGCCCCTATAGGAAAAAGTGTACGGCAGGACACAAGCAAAGCCACAAGAAACCGAAACTCATGAGAAAAATGGTTTGCCAAGACGTCAGACGATCATAGAAATATATAATGAAGAACAAATTGGGGTAAATGACTGACATAAAGTTCAGCCGAGAAAACAGAAAAAAAGGAAGCAAGGGTACATCTGTCAGAACAGGACTCTAACCATAAAATGATAAGAAATCATAGAATTTTTTCAAAACCAAATGCCTTATTGATCCGGCCTACCGAAAAAGTTAATTATTCCGAAATCTTACGTCGCATTAAACATGATGTCTCTGATGACCAGGTAAATACGACAGTAGACAAAATAAACAAAACCAGAAGTGGAGACTTGCTGATAACTATTTCTTAGAAAAGTGCGGACAAAGACCAAAAACTTCAACAGATTATTGCAGGTGTGTTAAAGGATGAGGCCGAAGATATTTATAAGGGGCACCAAGAAACTATAGAAATAAGGAATATTGATGATGAAACCTCAAAAACTGATATCGAAATAGCACTACAAAAAGCAACCAGAGGAGCCTGCAACACACCAGCAGAAGCAATTAGGATTCGTAAGGCATATATAGGTACCCAGATTGCTTCTCTAGCTCTTCCAGCGGCAGTTGTACACGATCTGCTTAAATCAAGTAGCAAAATATGAATTGGATGGGTCAACTGTAAAATCATCAAGAAACCAATTCAATGCTTTAAATGCTGGCTATTTGGACATTATGGATCACAGTGCAAGAGCGAAGTGAATCGGACCAATGCATTAGATGTGGACAAGAAGGTCACAAAATAGCCAACTGTATAAATGCAGCAAAATGTGCACTATGCGCTGAAAATGAAAACTCTGAAAATGTAGCACATCATTCCGGCTCTCACAGATGTCCTCTATATAGAAAGGCCATAGAGAAAATAATGAACGCAAAAGCATGAAGATAATGCAGCTAAACTTGAATCATTGTGAGGCTGCACACGATTTGCTTATGCAGACCGTAAGAGATATGAAAATAGATGTTGCCCTCTTATCGAAACCTTACAAACAACTAACTGATTGGCCATGGGAAACGAACAGTACCACCAAAGCTGTTATTTGGTCCTATGGGAAATTTTGTTTCCAAAATGTTGTTAACAATAGCAACGCTGGATTTGTCGCAGCATCATTAGATGGCATTTATTTATACAGCTGTTACGCTCCCCGTAGCTATAGCCGGTGACTTTAACGCATGGGCGGTAGACTGGGTAAATAGGAAGAATAATGCAAGAAGTAAAGCACTTTTAAAGAGGCCTTTAATGCACTTGAAGTTGTTTTACTTAATGGTGGTGATAAGCCAACCTTTGCCAAGGGCATTGCAAGCTCAATAATAGACCTTACTTTTGTTAGCAATAGCCTCGTCAGAGGAAATTGCAATTGGGAGGTATTATATATCTACACTACTAGTGACCACAATGCAATCATCTGGAAGATATCAACGAATAGAAACATTAGAAGACATGCAAAAATATCTAGAGCCATTGGGTGGAAAATAAAATCTTTTGATGAAAGCGCCATGAGAGTTGTCTCAAATTGCAAACCTATAATTTCAGAACACGCAGATGAGCATAATAGAGAGCTGATGGAGAGAATAACCGAAGCTTGTGATATCAGTATGACTCGTAAGCATGACATAAATCAAAGACAATCTGTACACTGAACTGGAGAAATCAGCTCTCTTTGTAAAGAGTGTCTAAAGAAAAGAAGGATCTCTCAGCGAGGATATAGTCTCATTAATTCTGCACAACTGGTAGTGGAATATAAACAAGCACGTCGGCAACTAAATAAAGCTATCAAAGAGAGTACAGTTAGGTGCTGGAAAGAACTTCTGAATGAAGTCGAGAAAAACCCATGGGGAAGACCTTATAAGACTGAAATGTCTCACCTCAAAAGCCAGCCAATACCTTCACCAACTTGCCCACGCTTATTGAATAAAACAGTAACTACTTTGTTTCCACGACTACCTATTTTGAACTACCAGGTAACACATGTAGAACTGAATAATATTCCACCTATAACACTGCAAGAACTGATGGAAGCTTGTCATCGCGTTGGTATTAGTAAGGAACCGGGATTAGATGGAATTCCTAATATTGCCTTAAAAACATCAATTATGACATCTCCGACAATGATTCTTAATGCATATAATACATGCCTGAAAGAAGAGGTTTTTCCACGAAAATGGAAACAGCAAAGATTAGTGCTTATTCATACAGGAAAAAAACCACCAGATGAACAATCATCCTACCGTCCAATATGCATGCTGGATACAGCGGGTAAAATTTTTGAAACAATAATTCACCAAAGAATAGATGCAATAGTTGACCAAATCCTAGCAGACAATCAGTATGGTTTTCGCAAAGGGCGATCAACTATCAATGATACAAACTTGCTAGTTAATACCGCCAAGGAGGGAATTGCTGGAACCAGATGGAAGGGGGGTGCAAAAAAGTACTGTCTTGTAGCTACATTAGATATAAAAAATGCTTTCAATTCTGCAAACTGGGATTGCATTATGAATGCATTCCATGACAAGAACGTGCCAGAATACCTCTGCAATATAGTCGCAAGCTACTTTACAGACAGAATTCTAATGGTACAGAAGAATGTAATATAACAAGAAGTGTACCGCAGGGCTCTATTCTAGACCCTTTGCTGTAGAATATTATGTATGATGGCCTTTTGAGACTATAGATTCCAGAATGCGTGAAACTAGTAGCATATGCAGACGATGTTGCCATAGTAGTTGTTTCCAAACAAATTGATGACATCGTAAGTCTATTTGATATCACATTTAGAAAAATTAATCGATGGTTGGGAACAATGAATCTCCAATTAGCACAACAAAAAAGTGAATCTGTTCTTATCACTAGTAGAAAAACAATAGAGACCTTCAAGCTAAAGATAGGAAATCTTGAGATCACGTCAAAACCTCACATCTGTTACCTTGGGAAACGAACAGTACCACCAAAGCCGTTATTTGGTCCTATGGGAAATTTTGTTTCCAAAATGTTGTTAACAATAGCAACGCTGGATTTGTCGCAGCATCATTAGATGGCATTTATTTATACAGCTGTTACGCTCCCCGTAGCGATAGCCGGTGACTTTAACGCATGGGCGGTAGACTGGGTAAATAGGAAGAATAATGCTAGAAGTAAAGCACTTTTAAAGAGGCCTTTAATGCACTTGACGTTGTTTTACTTAATAGTGGTGATAAGCCAACCTTTGCCAAGGGCATTGCAAGCTCAATAATAGACCTTACTTTTGTTAGCAATAGCCTCGTCAGAGGAATTTGCAATTGGGAGGTATTATATATCTACACTACTAGTGACCACAATGCAATCATCTGGAAGATATCAACGAATAGAAACATTAGAAGACATGCAAAAATATCTAGAGCCATTGGGTGGAAAATAAAATCTTTTGATGAAAGCGCCATGAGAGTTGTCTCAAATTGCAAACCAATAATTTCAGAACACGCAGATGAGCATAATAGAGAGCTGATGGAGAGAATAACCGAAGCTTGTGATATCAGTATGACTCGTAAGCATGGCATAAATCAAAGACAATCTGTGCACTGAACTGGAGAAATCAGCTCTCTTTGTAAAGAGTGTCTAAAGAAAAGAAGGATCTCTCAGCGAGGATATAGTCTCATTAATTCTGCACAACTGGTAGTGGAATATAAATAAGCACGTCGGCAACTAAATAAAGCTATCAAAGAGAGTACAGTTAGGTGCTGGAAAAAACTTCTGAATGAAGTCGAGAAAAACCCATGGGGAAGACCTTATAAGACTGAAATGTCTCACCTCAAAAGCCAGCCAATACCTACACCAACTTGCCCACGCTTATTGAATAAAATAGTAACTACTTTGTTTCCACGACTACCTATTTTAAACTACCAGGTAGCACATGTAGAACTGAATAATATTCCACCTATAACACTGCAAGAACTGATGGAAGCTTGTCATCGCGTTGGTATTAGTAAGGAACCGGGATTAGATGGAATTCCTAATATTGCCTTAAAAACATCAATTATGACATCTCCGACAATGTTTCTTAATGCATATAATACATGCCTGAAAGAAGAGATTTTTCCACGAAAATGGAAACAGCAAAGATTAGTGCTTATTCATATAGGAAAAAAAACCGCCAGATGAACCATCATCCTACCGTCCAATATGCATGCTGGATACAGCGGGTAAAATTTTTGAAACAATAATTCACCAAAGAATAGATGCAATAGTTGACCAAATCCTAGCAGACAATCAGTATGGTTTTCGCAAAGGGCGATCAACTATCGATGCTACAAACTTGGTAGTTAATACCGCCAAGGAGGCAATTGCTGGAACCAGATGGAAGGGGGGTGCAAAAAAGTACTGTCTTGTACTCTATTCTAGACCCTTTGCTGTAGAATATTATGTATGATGGCCTTTTGAGACTAGAGATTCCAGAATGCGTGAAACTAGTAGCATATGCAGACGATGTTGCCATAGTAGTTGTTTCCAAACAAATTGATGACATCGTAAGTCTATTTGATATCACATTTAGAAAAATTAATCGATGGTTGGGAACAATGGATCTCCAATTAACACAACAAAAAAGTGAAGCTGTTCTTATCACTAGTAGAAAAACAATAGAGACCTTCAAGCTAAAGATAGGAAATCTTGAGATCACGTCAAAACCTCACATCTGTCACCTTGGCGTAATGCTTGATGCTCGTTTGAATGTCTATCAACAGGTGGAACACGTTAGTGCTAAGGCGTCAATAGTTAGGACGAAACTTGCTCGACTGATGCCTAATATTGGAGGTCCTAAACAAACTAGAAGGATATTACTATCGTCGGTTGTTACTTCGGTGCTGACATATGGTATCTCCATATGGGCTGATGCTCTTAAATCTCAAAAATCGAGGAGAATGGCAGGCCCCTTATATCGTCTCAGTGCTATAAGAATTGCTTGCGCATTTCGCACAATATTGGCGGAAGCAGTGTGCTTCATTTCAGGAACTGTGCCTCCTTTAGTCTTAGTAGAGGAAAGAAAGCAACTGTGGGATGTCGCAGTGAAGGGCAGATGGACTCGGGGCACGGCTGTTTTCGAGCCTACCTACACCGCTTCAAGCACGATAGCTCGCCAGATTGCCCATATTGTTTGGGCGAAATCGAAGATGCTGACCATATGTTCTTTGTGCGCCCGCGATTTGGTGCTCTACGGGATTATGTGGAAGAGACATTGAGACGCAGAATTACCCCAGGTAATGTTGTTGAAGTGATGCTGACAAGTGATGCTGCTTGGAACGCCATAGACATATTTGCGAGAGACGTATTAATTGACCTGCGATCTATAGAAAGAGAAAGGGCGAATGGGACTTCGCCCATTTAAAAGATTAGTATAATGTTTATGAATTATAACATTGATTATAACAAGTTAAGAATTATAACATTCTAGATCCTTCCCCCACGAAGTAATGCCTAACGGCGGTTTCCGTGGTACCAGAGGCAAGAGCAAAGCGGAGGTTTTACTCGGTATTATACCAGGGCGGTATCGAGTCCAACATAACCATACAGAAGACCAGTCTGGGATGCATAAAGGCATTTCCTTCGCTATACGAAAAAAAACACACACACGCATAAATCCATTTTTTCTAAGGTATGTCAAAATGTTTAGAAAGTTTTGAAACGTAAAGATATATAAAAAATTTCATTTACGATTTTTTTGCGATTACTATAACTTGCCCTACAAAAAGTTAATGATAATGTCATGTTGTGCCTAATTAACTTCCCGTAGGGCAAGTTATAGTAATCGCAAAATAATCGAAAATGAAAATTTTTATATATTTTTACGTTTCAAAGGTTTCTGAATATTTGGCATTGCTTAGAAAAAATGGATGTATGTGTGTGTATGTGTGTGTGTGCGGATACAAATTTTCGTCGACGATTTAGTGAACACGGATGAAGCGATTTGAATAATTCAAAAAACATTCGATTCGTATTGTATAAGTAGACGTGCTGATTAGTTTTTGGCAAAGGCAGGTCTAGCCGTTTCGAAGATATGGGACAAAAAGTGCCAAAAACGGTAACTCAGTTTTTAAGAGAACGGAGCGTCCGATTTGAATAATTTACTTGTATTTTTTACTTGTATTAATAAGATGAACAACTGATCAAATTTTCATGAAGGCAGGTCTAGCGCTTTCGGAGATCTAGTAAAAAAAGTAAAAAAAATGCCATTTGGCGGTCAAAAAATATCATTAGACATATGCACATCAAATTATCAGATATTTTATAGAGATTTTAATAAGTATAAACTTTGTTTACATTCCTATGGATTCCGTACCAATGTTTATCCGTTAGACGGCAACGCGGCGCTTACGCGCTTCTAATATTTCGTCTCTATGCAGTTAAAGCTGTACGATTGCTTTAAAAAAAGTTCAGAATTTCCAAAATATTTCAAAATAAATTTTTCTTCAAAAAGTCTTTTTTTTTTCAAGAAAAAGTAAATTTTTGTCAAAAGTTTATAGTTTCTCAAAAATCAAATTATTTCAAAGTAAATTTTCTTTCAAAAATGTTAATCTTTTTAAAAAAAATAATTTTTGGTACGGAAAGTTCCAGCAATTTGACATAAAGCACAATGCCATGCGCCCCACTAGTTCAGTTTTTGCTAATAAAAACTAAAAGTTTTATAAACGCACGTTTATGAGGGATAATGATGCATTTTGGAAGATAACAAAAGGTCAAAATTGTCAATACATTACAGAGCAAAGTTTCTTAATTTCATGTAAAACTTACCTTTGATTTTTTAACAAAAATGCGTTCTTACTTAGTGGTCAACGATAATTACAAGTTTCTAACAAAAATGCGCACTTACTTAGTTTCCAACCGTTCCAGTTTTAAAATAAAAAATACGATTTAACAAAAAAAGATATATAAAGATTGGATATAATTTCATTCTGAATTAAAAAAGTGTCAACTAGCTAAGTAAAATTCTTAAGAAATGGTTTTATGAAGAAACTGAAACCAAATGCCCCAAATTTCTATAATTTATTGATGATAAAAAAATAGACTTGAAATAACAGAACGTGGAGACTTGAGTTTAAAGCTCAGTAAGTTAGTAATTTTTTGTCCACGTTATAGCCTAATGTAAATATTTTGGGCAGCATGCAAGCTTAATTAAATGAATTTCGAAAAAACAGTAATAAAATCAATTTGATTTTTTGTTTTTTTTTGGCTTATTCCAAAATTCAACTTATTTAATAAAAATTTAATAGTGATTTTATTTTGAAAGTTATCATTCACATTTTTTCAGGTAAAAAAAATTATGGGGGGGCATAACGATTTTAAAAATCTCAATGTGGGGCGGGGTCTGAAAAAGGTTGGGAATCACTGATATAAAAGGTATTAAATAAGAAGACGAGTTTCGATGTAGGATCTTTTACAAGTTTATGCCTTGTGTAATAATAAATACATTTTGGATTCGGGCTTAAATTAAACAGGTTAGCATTATTTTTAATAGAACAGAGGGTGTTTAGAAGAAAAATGCATGGAACGGGTAGAATCATGTGATCATGGAAAAAAGATCGACAAGATGTAGTGGACAAAAAGAAAAGCATAACTCTGATTGCTTTTTTCTGTAATTGAAAAACATGTTAGTAAAAGAGAAAACCCTCAAAATTGAATGACGTAAATTACATTTGAATAAAAATATGAATAATAAATTGTGAAAAGGCTTTCTTTGCTTACTTTCATTTTTAAATTACGAAGCATGAAGCATGTTTTTGATAATTTAGCATTCAAAGTATTAATAATGTGATGATCCCATTTCATGTTGTTACTTATATTAATACCAAGAAATTTTGTATTATTCAAAAATTTTGTTTTGTTATTATTCAATACAAGATTATTATTGTGAAACCAATTAGAAGAGAACGAGAACAACACATTATTGAATTTTGTTAATAGTTGTTCGTGAGTTTTTGCTTTAATTACTAAACGTGTATCATCTGCAAATAAGATAAAGTCACACAGATTAGTACACTGGGTTAGGTCATTTATGTAAAGAAGGAAAAGGAATTAAAATTTATGTGAATAAGAAAAGGGGAAAAATATAAAAAAATAAAAACAAAAAAAAAAATCGTAAAGAAATTAAAGTGATAAAATAGATAGTAGCTGATTCTCAGACCTTCTGAAGACGAATATAAAATGTGGTAAAAATCAATGAATATATATATATATATATATATATATATACATATATATATATATATATATTATAGAATTTTATGATATGAGTGGAACGAATATTAATTGTTTAATATGAACAAAACAACCATAAGTTTGATTTTGACAATCCCCAAATTTTATTCCATGAGAAAGACTTATTTAAACGGAGCATGGCAGAATCAATGTTAATAGTTCGGACTAACAATAGCATAAATCTAAGAACCGACACAAATATTTTACATGACACTTATATAAACATCATTAATAATTTATAAATTTTTTCATTTATCTTATTCTTTTCAATAAATTAATTTGTTTTTTCATTTTTATCGATTTTTGTATGCGATAGCACTCCTTTTGTTTACATT